GCGAGTCCTCGATGGCGATGGAGAGCGGGCCCTGCAGGTGCATGTCTGGGTGCTTGACCAAGCGGTAGGCGCGCCTGTGGGGCACGTCTCGGACGCGTCTCGGACATGTCGTGGACATGGCCGGGGGCTCGACCAGCACGGCGGGCGCGCCGGCCGAGCGTGTCGCACTCGGTGAGGTAGTACGCGCCGCCAGGCTGCTCGTCCTCCACCGCCGCCGTCCAGCCGAACTTGCCCCACGTGCTCGCGTACCGCTCGCTGAGCGCGTCGAAGGCGGCGGCGGAGTGGTACGTGCGCCTGTTCCACAGGGAAAAGGAGGTGTGAAGAGGCGCCGTTCACGGCCCGGCGGCGGCAGAGTGGTGCGCGTGCGCCCGTCCAGCTCCGCGTGCTTGTCCCAGTTTGTCACCGGTAGGCCGCGAGCCTGGGCGAGGTGTGGGGAGGCAGGTGTGGGGAGGCAGGTGAGCCTCTCTCTCTCTCTCCCCCCCCCCTCTCACCACCCCCCCCAGGTCGAGATGCGAGCCCTGGCCGAGTTTGAGCGCAACCTCAACTTCATCATGGCGCAGCTTGGCGACGGCGTGGCGGCGGACTCGGGCAACGCCGGCCCTAGACGCGAGACGCGGGGACACGCGTATTCTTGTACTCCAACCAGCGCTCGAGAGGACACGTAATACCGCCGCGTTTCCCCATCTCCCGCCGTATTCAGCGTATCCGCAGCCCCGTGTCTCCACGCGGTGCTCTGAGGACACTGCTCTGAGCACACGGCGCCGAGACTGTACTCCCGCGCCTCACCTCGGCTGTCTTCCTGACGCCGGCTTTCTTTCTTCTTTTAGGCTTTCCGGACGGCCCGGCGAGGGAGTTCGAGGAGCGCGTCCAGTCGGGCGAGGAGCCGCCCGTCGAGCTCCCGCCCCTCTCCGAAACCGAGCCCGCGCCCACCGGCGCGTGAGAGCTGCAGCCGGCGCATCTCGCACCGGTGTGACACATTTCGAGTCGCCTCGCACCTCGCACCTCTCTCCTCCTCCTCCTCCTCCCCCGTGGGCTGCTGTGTGCTGTGTGGCCCGGCTGGGCCGCTCCGCCCCCGCCCCCAGCGTGCATGAGCGGCCGTGAGGCCCGCGTAAGCGGGGACTCGACGGCTCTCTAGACTCTACTTCTCGGGACTCGGGCGTCTCTCTCTCTCTCTCTGTCTCTCTCCCCCGTCCTGCGTCCATTCTCCTTTCTTGTGCATGTGGCGGAGAGAGATCGTCGCATGGTCTTGATTCATTTTCATTCACTCTGTGTAAACAACATACAACAACGCCGTTTCTGTGGGGCCGTGGGGGTTTCACACAAAATCAAAAACATTAGTCTTACTGCTGCATTATACTGGACACAGGTCACAACAGCTCCACCAGTGCGCAGTGGCGAGTGGGGAGCCGTCTTCCGAATTGGGTTCCTTGTGATCATATCTACCCCTGCTCTGCGAAAAATTTTCACAATATCGCAACCGCGATATACCGCGCGATATTTGGCGATAAAATGCGATATAAATGGCGATGTTGTGCGATGCTCGCGATCATGCGAGCCCTTCACAGCCCACGCCTAGTGTCACGCTCGCGCTCGAGCGGGTCACAATGGGAAACCCTCGTTTCCTATGAACTCGGTCCCCCACCCAACGGAAGAGGCCTCGCTCCTATTGAAACACTCAAACATCAGATTTGCCTCGTGCGTCCCTTTTTGAGAAGGAAACCTATTTTCTTTTGGGTCCTGTGGGCACCCAACCCTCTTCAGACGGACGCAGTGGGCTGTCGGCAAGGTAGGTGAGTGTCAGGGGGTCGTCTCTAGGCTGGTTAGCCTTGATTTTGATCACAGATCGGCGCAAGACACGGTCGCGATGCCTCGTGTGAAAACTAGGAAGATGACTTTTCCAAGGCACTCGGTCCTACGGAGAGACACTAACGTCTAACCGGCACTTCCAAAGGACCCAAAAAATACAGGGTTACATCGCCAGAGTACCCGCGATGGCTCGCTATGTCCGCCGTCGCCTGGCAGAACCCCCTCCAACCGGTTGACCCCCCAGTCCTCGTACTCCACCATACACACACACACACAAGAGAGAGAGAAACACACACACTCAAGTAGCCGAGCCGTCGGGCGAGGACGCGGCGCGAGCGCACCACGCGTACTGCGAGGCGTCGCTGCAGGCCGCCGTCAAGGAGGCGGAGCGGGCCGAGCAGGCGGCGGAGCGCGAGGCGGAGAGCGAGGCGAGGGTGGCGGAGGCGGGCCCAGCGCCGAGGGCCCCGCCGGCGGCCGTGGGGGAGGAGGCGAGCATCGTGGCGTCGTCGCACAGCGTCCCGCTCGATGTGTGGCAGGACCGTCGACGAGCTCCTCTACCGCCACGGCATCGCCACCGTCTCGAGCGGCGAGCTGGCTGACGAGGAGCTGGAGCTCGCCGAGCTGCTGGTCGACGACTCCCCCGCCGGAGAGCTGCTGCAGCGCGAGCTGCATGAGCTGCGCCGCGTCGAGGCGCGCGCAGTCGGCGTTTACGGCGCTGCCGGGAGTCGCACCCCAATGCCCCGCCCGTGCGCTGTCAATAGGTTTGGGCCGAGGTGGAGGTCGAGCCGGAGGGCGAGCCGGTGTGTGCAAAGATCGGGTTGTTTCCCGCGATGCTAGCTTGTAACGTTTTACCTCGAGTCATTAGGTGCGCTGCTGGGACGCGGAGCTGGTGTACGAGGCGCACTTGCTGGTGCACGCGGCGCTGCTGGCACGTCTAGAGAGCGGGGCGGTTACGACGCCGGGCTCTCACGAGTGCAACTACCTGGGTTGGGTCCGCGACATCGTGAGCACCGGCGCGCAGTTCGCGGGCGCCGTTGACGACGACGACTTTGTCCGGTCCGTGCGGGACATGACGTACCTTCGGCTGAGCTTTGCTCAGGCGAGCCAGCTGCTGTGCACGCGCCGCATCGCGCACTGGGCGCGGCTCGTCCAGGTGCACAGCGGCGGCGATCGCCCCCTCGAGGCGATCGCCGCCTTCGCCGCCGTCGGTGCTAAGCCAGCGTCTTTGCGCGACCTCGTCCAGTACTCGCGCGGTCTGAACCCCCGCACCACGCTAGCTGCGATCGAGCGCATCGGCGTCAGCTTGCGATCCGGATGCTACCCTCATCTGGCCACGCAGCTGTACGCGAGCGCCATGGATGTGCCGGCCGTCGTGGTAGGGGCGGTGGGCGAGGAGGTGGAGGAGGAGGAGGAGGAGCTGGGAGAGGACAATATGGAGAGTGACGCCGAGAGCGAGGACGAGGAGAGCGGGGGGGAGTAGGCGTGTTTGTACTCGGGCGACGCTCGCGAGGTCTATAGACGAGCGCCGCAGCGGGCCGCATCGGCTCGAGAGAGAGAGAGAGAGAGAGAGAGAGAGAGAGAGAGAGAGAGAGAGAGAGAGAGAGAGAGAGAGAGAGAGAGAGAGAGAGAGAGAGAGAGAGAGAGAGAGAGAGAGAGAGAGAGAGAGAGAGAGAGAGAGAGAGAGAGAGAGAGAGAGAGAGAGAGAGAGAGAGAGAGAGACTCTCAAGGCAGAGCTTGCACGCGCCCGAAGAGAGAAGAAATAGAGAAAACACTCTGACATTTTACGCACTCCTTGGCGACGCGCGCGCCCCTTCCCCAAGTCTCAGCGACCTCGGGCGCACAATCGGCCGGGGGCGCGGGTTTTCGGCGAGTTTCCCGAAGGGGGGGGGAGGGGGGCCTAAAAATAAAAAAACCCCCCACAAGAGGGGGGGGGGGGCGG